ACATCCCTAAAGTTTCCATTCCATTGAGTTCCATGGTATACAACTCCTCATGCCCAAGAACTGAGAGCGTTATTCTACTAACCTCCCCCAAAATATGCTCTGGGTATAAATCGAGCTGAAGGTTGGGAGTGGGTAGGCTAGGAATGTTGATATGTCAACAAGATGTGCAATTGGTATTTGCTCCAAAAGCTCTTGCCCTGTTTTCTTTGAGAGAAACTCATTTTTAGCTTATGAGCTAAATCCAATTTTCGTTGCAGTGATACCAGATTTTTCACTTTGATTCATGCTGGATAAGGTTTAAGAGGGAACCTTTCCAGTATAATGAACCTGTGTTTTTTTCCCCTCTTCCCTTGTATCCCTCATGCCAACAGCTAAGGATTTATACTGTATCCACAAAGCGACCTGAATCCTTTCCATTGTTGCCCAATGATGGTCTCTTTACATGTTTATTAACTGGAAGGAAGTTCAACTAGAAAAAAAATCAAACTCCAGCATTAGGGATTTAGAAATGCCTATAATTTGGTGTCTTTTCTTTCTAACATTGTTCTTTAATTAACAAAGTGGCTTTTACAAACATGGGACAGGGTGACAGGTTTACGGCTTTGATTAACAATGATTTACTCCGTTCCAGAAATGGAGAGGACATTGTGAGTTTCCATTTGGCATTTTGCGTTAGATTTATTAAACATTTATTACCCACTCACTGGATCCAAACTCCCAAACTGGGGCATTGATAGACAATGTGATAACTTTGACTCAACAAGCGATAGGTGTGTCACGTGCCAAAGTCAGCACATAATTGAGATGTCTTCTTTCTATGTGGTTCAAGGATAAAGCCATTTCACTGTTGCTTAATCTCTGCCTGAATCATCTGTCTGGGTAATTGCTTCAAATATGCATTTAACCATGTCCCAGCACCTCCAAGCCAATGCACCTGGTAGGAAAGCAAACAGACAAATCAGCTGTTGTTGGATTTGTCTTGGAATTGACCATTTGTCTTAGAGGAAAGAGAAGAGAGCCACTCGAGAGTCCTAAACCAGCTGCACGAGGGTGGGGGGAGACTCCTCTATTGGAGATGAGGTGAAATCCTGAAGGCTCAGCTACAAATGAGAGAAGTTAGGGAGTAGAAGGAATGTTATTTTCCATTGTTACTTGTTGCATACATTGATTGCGCTTGGAGACTGAGATTGGTTGGGTTGCCAGAGAGACTATCTGGGGCTATGTGAGGGAAGGAACCTGACCTCACAGGCCTTTTAATGGGTATCACCTGTCTGGAGGCTGGGGGGGGGGGGGGGGGGTGGCATTTGAGTTCCACTTTTCTCCAGAACAAGAAGCTGATCTCCCATTCCTGACACAGCACAGCAGTGAAAGCGAGTTTCAGTGAATGAAGCTTTTGCAAGACTTCCAAGCATAATACTTTGATCTAAGTCCTCTCCCTTTTAATCAGAAGCACACGTGTCCCAAGCGTGGTTGCCATTCCTGGGCCAGTGCAGCACCTGTAAAGTATGGATGTAGAACTTACTTGTATAGGAATCATGGCTAAGATCCTATTGTGGCCTTTGCCCACTGTGTATGTGCAAATCCCGGGCAGGACACTTTGTATGGAGGGCAGTGTCAGGGAAGGCAGAAGGTGAAGAGGGAGTGCCTCTACTGTCCCCGAAGGAGGGACACTAACATTGGTTCACCTCCTCCAAAGGGTATCCAGGCACCTGCTCTGTGCTCTGGGCACTCTTCTGAATCAATAAGCAGAACATAGGGAGATCTCTGCCCTCATGGAACTTACACTCTAGCAGTAGCAAGAGTCCAAGCCACTTGATGGCTGGTGGACCTAGAGAGCTTTGTGGCAGATTTCTTCCAAAGGAGATTAAAACATAAACAAAGGAAGGAAGGAGGGAAGGAAGGAAAGAAGGAAGAGAACGAAGAGAGGGGGGAGAAAGGAGGACCAGAATAAGAAGGGAGGAAAGTAAGAAAGGAAAGAGGACGGAAATGTTCATTAATCGTGATGACTAACTAGAGGCTTCGTAAAGAGATCCCTTGGCAGCCTGAGACTGGTAACAAAAAAGAGAGAGGTGAGCAAACCCTCCAACTGGGAGACTCATACTTCCTCCATGAAGCCTCTGGTCCAAAGCATGAAGTGTGGAACCCCGTTATTTTGCCTCAGGGCACTTGGCCTCCTAAAAACGTGATTTTTAAACCAGGAGTTGATGTGTTCTCCCTCCTCTGTTCCTTTAACCAAGTAGGAATCCCTCTCGTGTGCCCTGCTTGGAGAAACCCCCAAAGCCTTGCATTAAGACCTGTAGCTACCTTATCCTGCATCGGCAGAGACATCTTCCCCCTGCAGCAGAGGGGGTCCAAATGAACTCCTGGCTCTATATCCTCAGCGGCTCGTGCTGTCGAGCTTCTGTTTCATGTTGTATCTCAACATCTAAATCCTCCAAGAATTATTGTAAAACCTGCTTGTCGCTGAGAGGGATCTGGTCTCACTCACTGTGCACCGTAGCCAGCGATAATGAATGGGTCAGCATAATTACCGTGTTTCCTCACACAGGCAGCCAGCTGCTCTGCCAGATTGTGAATTTTTCATTTTCTTTATTTCAAAATGCAGGGCGTTCCTATGAAAACTTAATGTTTGAGCAGCAAGACAGACTTGCAGTCAAAGCTGTGTGCTTGCCCATTTTCTCCCCAGTCCGGAAGCAAACGTCTCAGATCTCATTACTTCTGGGCTTTTACGGTGTTCGGAATTATTGGCTTTCCCCATTAAGACTGACACCTCTCTATAATTTCAAGCACATTAGTTGTAACACAAGTCAGGAGACGTGGGTGCATTGGGGGCTGGCAAGCTGAGAATTAAGGACAGCTGTGCGATTTGTCTTTCACGGCAATAAAAAAAAAAAAAAAGGTTAAAAATAACCTGTATGGTCTTTTCCAACACAAATAGACAAAATCATTCTGACTCGGTTCTATGATCCCAGCATTTTGCCCTCCGTCGTGAGAGAAAGATATGGCGGAATCCATGAGAACACGAAGAGAATTCCAGATGATAGCCAGTCTTCAGGTTGGAATCAAGGGTTTTAGTCTAGTCTGTGCAATTCTGCGAGATGGTATGGAATTGGGGCTTTTGTGGGAGACGCCATGGCCTCGTCTCCCCATCCCCTGCCCTCCCCCACTGCATAACTAGGACATAGAGTGTCCGAGGACTCCACAGCCAGTGAAGAGATGGGATGGAGGGCTTCTGCTCCTGAATGTGGTGGAGGAAGGGAAGAAGCCCCTCCATGGCAGTTTGGATATAAGGTGGAGGCAGCTTCAACACAGCATGAAACAGGACACCCTGTGAGCAGTTAGGTGTTCCCCCAAAATGAGCTCCTGGAGAGAGGTCTGTGTGCACTGATTATCTCCTTTTGAGAGCCTCCCTTGTGGTGGGACGACCTGAGCTTGTATGTTCATATCACGCCCAAAGACACTGTCCCTCCCAGCCTTGCCTGTCCATACAAACACCGCGTGAACAAGTCCCAGGAGAGAGGGAGCAGGGGAGGGGAGTGCACAGAGGAAGAAATCCTTCCAGCCCTGCTCTGTTTTACCTGTGTCTCTCTCCCTCGGGAAAGCTCCTGTTCTGTTAGAGACTGGTAGATGGGAGAAGAAGCTGGGGACAAGGGTGGGGTGGGGGGAGGTTGACTGGAAACTGCCCATCACGTGGCCTCTCCACAACCTACAACTTCATCCACTTGTTGCTGTAGTGAAGCCACCCCTGCATCCATTCAGGGGTCCAATATTGAGAGCCCACTGTGAATAAGATCGGGGGGCTTCTGCCGACTTGGGGAGGCACGTGCTGGAGAGGCCAAGAGGAGCTTGCCCGTTCTTTGGAGAGAGAAAAGGTAACACACTCGGCATAGCAAGAGCCCTGTGAGATGCAGACAAGTAGGAACAGCAGAAGTGGTTTCCTGAAGCTGGGGGCGGGTGGGCGGAGGGAGCATTGTCTCAGAATTTGCAGACCCCCCCCCCCCAGGAGGAAGGACATCCCAGGCAAGAGAATGAAGATCAGGGGTCTCTGGCTTCAGGCTTCATTTCCCTCATGACTCCTCAGCAAGCCATCCTGCTCAGAGAATTTTTCCCCCAAGGAGGAAAAACCCACCTCACACCCTCTTCTTGAGAGTTGAGTTCCCAGACTTCTGTGTGGTTGTATAAGGTTGTTGTACGTGTCTTCAAAGCTGTTAAGTGGTTTGGGGGCTACCATTTGTTTCTTGGAGCATAAAGGGTTTGCACAGTTACGATACATGCACGTGTCCGTAGGAACGTTGTATTGCAATTTAAAAACTTTAACAAGCCATAGATGGACATCAAGGAAAATGTGGGAAATAAATAAAAACAAGATGGGGAAAGCAGTGAATAGACAACACACACACAGTTCAGCACCAGAGATAACTAAGAACACACTGAAATATGTGTGCGTATGTATACAAAATTATATACATACTTGAACATATATGTACGCATAGTACATGTTCACATAGACGTGTGCATTATACAACACAATATAAACACGGGCATGCATATTCACTCACATGCACGCACGTGTGTGTATACACCATATTCATGTATGTTGTATGCTCACACATAAATATTACACACAATATACATGTGTGTATAGACAGATGACAGATGTTGACAACACAATGCACATACATCTTGCAGTCTACCTTTGTAAAATCTGAACTCTGTGCAGTGAGCTTGCTTCCCGTTGTTAAGTCTTTGTAAATGTTTGTCATTTACCTTATTCTCTTGGGCACAGGGACCCCCGCCTTAAGTAGCCCGTCCTGCCTGGACTCGGACCTTGGCCTCCTCCCCGCTGCCCGCCCTTTACGAGCCTGATCCTGGACAGGGGGCAGGTGTCCAGCGTCCGCCTGCAGGAAGAAGGGTCCTGGCGGGGCGGGGGGCGCGTCGCCCTCAACAACAGGTGTGCTTCTGAAAGCCTTTGCTCTGCTCTCTCCTTTCCGCCCCCGCAGTGCCCGGCTTCCCGTATCCAGCCGCCACCGCCGCGGCCGCCTACCGAGGGGCGCACCTGCGAGGCCGCGGCCGCACCGTGTACAACACCTTCCGGGCTGCGGCGCCCCCGCCCCCGATCCCGGCCTACGGCGGGTAAGTCGGTCAGCCTCCCCCTGGCGGCGGGCCTGCCGCACCACCCCCTCCTGTTTGCGAGCGCATGCTGGTCTTGACCGCCCCACCGGAACCCGCCCCAGCATGCATTCCGCGCGCGCCTGCAGTGGAGCACCTTGCAAAGTATTGAGAAATGAATGTAATTTGTCCTGTCATGGTTGGTGCCTTTAAGCATTCTACATGTCACATGTTGTTATGTAAATTCTCTTTGAGACTGAATGCTGGAGAACAGAGAAATGGTTACAGCCAAAGATGTATTTCTGATGATTGCAAACATCTGGTTATTAAGGAGGTTGGATCACATTTGCCCCTTGAATCTGGCCATGGAGGGACGCGAAGTTTCCAAACATAAAATTCGCTGGAGGGGGGGGGGGGCGGTTGGGAGGGGGGGTGGTCTTGCCGCCCTCCCCAAAGACACCTTGCACTTCAAAGTTTATGAACCCTTGCCTGAGAAGAGAAAATTAGGTGTGGGGTCGAAAGCAAAAGTTCAAAGAAGTTGGAAGTAAGACTCGTTTCCATTCAATTTTCCAAAATGCGCATTTGTTTTCCTTTCCCCTCTGCAAGGAAATGCAAGTTAACGTGTTCCCCATGAGCAGTTTGGTTTTTGTGCGCATGGACTTTGGTGTTCCCAGGTGAAAATCAAAGAGGGCTGGTGAACACTAAGAAACAGTGGTACTGTGGGCTGCAGCCCTGAAATGCTACCCTTTCTTCCTGTTAAGGTATCCTCCTGGAACATTCAGTGCCCTGGAGTCAGGGAGAAAGAAAGAGATGTGTCTGGTGGTCCTTGGGGGATGTTTGGAATGTTCGGAGACATTTTGGGTTGTCTCAGTAGGAGCAGCAATCTAGTAGGTAGAGGCCAGGGATGCTGCTTAAGATCCACAGTGCACAGGACCCCCCCCCCCCCCGCCCCCAACACAAAGAGTCATGAGGCCCCCAATGTCAATAGTACTACTCAGAAAAACTCAGCTGTGTGCAAGACAGTTTGGCTCAAGGCTTTCCTGGCCAGTGCCTGGCTTTCTGGTCTGTAGAAAGAATACGGTTGTATTCCAGACTGCACCAAAAGGATTAATGCATTTTTTATAGCTCTGTTGCTTATAAATTTTTTAGAAAACCTGAATGAGCCTAGATCATCTCTCTATTATACTGATGACAAAGGAAACCACTCTTTTTTCATTATTTATTCATATCTCACCCATTGCAGAGGAGAGCATTTGAAGTGTTTCAAACACAAACGCAATGAGACAAAGTTAAGAATATAAATAAATGAAACTCGATGAAATCATCAGGAAGGGAAAACACAGGTAGAGAAATCAGTCAGTGTCCATTGTTTCTTGTGTTGTGATTAGACTTAGGTCACTTCTGAGTTTCTTAGTGGACAAAACAACAGCACAAATTTCGTTTTCACTGGAATGATGATAGATAATAACAGACCAAAGATAAATTCACCATAAATTCTCCCCACCCTCCAAAAAGATGCATCTGTACATCCTAAGCCTTAGACATATGACCATGTGATACAAAGAATCATCGATAGTGTAATCATTATCTCCAGCCCCACAGTGTTGAGCCCGTTTTATAGATCCAGAAATGCAGAAATAAATACATGTTATTCCCAAGGTCACACAGTAAGTTGTTAGGAAGGGAAAAATCCCCCACCAAGTTACCCTGTAGGCTCATGTAATTACTAAAGCAAGATTCATAAACCATAAACACAAAATTGCATGTTTATACCACATTAGTTTGTCTGAGAATTATTATCTTATCTTAGTAGACGGTAATTGTAGCTTTTTGGTACATGTACCCTCAGTATCTCACTACTATACTGAACAGGGAAAAAAAATAAAGTAAAATTATACGGCTTATCCTCACATGAACTATTTATAAAAATCTCAAAATAACACACCTGCTGTAAAATCAAAATTCTCTAACTTAGAATGAACTTGTTCTTTGCCGGGGATAACCGTGCATAACTAATTAATGCCACATTCACCAGGGAGACACATGGGCATCTCCAAATGGTGAAGCACTGTGTTTGTGACTGCTTTAGACGTGACTTAATTTTAATATTCCAGCAATATGCCTAATCATTTTGGTTATAATAGTACATTGTGCCTCTTTGCTGGTAATATTCTGAGTGGAATCCTGAAACCACTCTAAGTAGTAAGATGAAATTCTCAGCACAGGAGGAGGTGAGGTGGGGGGGAAGAGGAGGAAGAGGAAGAGGAGAAAAGGCTGGGGTCCGCGTGTCCATGTCTGCAGGTTCTATGAGAGCAAAGTGTTGGTGGAGAATAGGAAATTCCGCCAGGGTGTTTTTGCTGTATTACAAAGTGCCTGGAGTGCGCTGGCCCCAAATGAAAAAGTGTGAGTCCAGCATCTTAAGTGAAGGTTTCCCTTTCCCTTTGCTTGTTGGCTTAGGCTGCAGGAAATTGCACAGAGGCAGCTCCTTTTGGAGAGAAGAGTGGGGGGCAGCACAGAGCAGATCCTGGCTGGAGTAGGGAGAGCCCTGGGCTTGAGTGGAAGCAAATAGCAGAGAGGTTGGAAGAGGTTCCTGTTTCCAGGAAGTGACATTATCAGGATTCAGGGGGTCCAGGAGATAGTATGGATTTGTAGCTGTTTGTCTCCGAAGTCCTTGGGGGGATGATTTCTAGATTTGACTAATGTCTTTACTCCAGTGCATTTTAGCTTAACATCTCTTGCTGTCTTGCCCCTTTGGAGGAGTTTCTTCCCATTAGGGGCAGGAGCACCATATAAGCTAACAATTTCAATCAATGTGATAAGTGATAAGGTGTGGTGTTGTGTGAGCACCAAGGAAGGCCCCTTAGCTCAGTTTTTAGAGAAGGCTTTCAGGAAAAGAAGAAATGTGGGATGCACTTAAGTCCAACCATTTCCTAAATTGCCACGTTGAGATCTCATTCCATGAGTCTCCCTCGCACCCAGTGATCCACATCTTTTCTACGATGTCATCTAGCAAGCTGCATTTGTTACTATTTTCCATTTGTTACCTGTCAAAGATTTATCTAACTGCCAACCTACACCTCTCTTCTTCATGAAGTATGCAATATGAATATACCCTGTCACTGAAATCCCAATAAAAAGTGTGTCATTTATCCTATGTCCATGTATGGCTTCCATATTGTTTTCCCAAGATAGTGAAAAAAAAAAAAAATCCCACATAACCCCCATGGCTACTTTTGTGGAGTCTTAGGTGACCCTTGGAGGTACCCAACATCAAGATAGTCACACAGGAGGATTCACCAAGGATGCCTTCTCATCCATCCACTTCCTTTTATTGATTTCGTTTTTTCCTCCACATCCTAATATTTTCTGAAGTTCCTCCCAGCAAGTAAAGAGCACAGGTGATGGAGAGGCCCTATTCTCTTCTTTCTCACGTAGCTAAAAAGGAATTTCTTGGGACATTAATATGTGATCATTTTCCCTAGAGGAGGGGGTTCTGTTTGGACCCTGGATGGATCACAGGAATGAGTAGAAAATCCAGACCGAGCCAACCAACTCACTATTGACTACCAACGTTAACTGAGTGAGGATGGGTGATGAGTTAGAAACCTAGTGTGTGACCCCTTCCTGGGAGGCACCTGTATTCCCCACATGCCACAGCGTTGGCTCTAGACAGTGGCACGTCAATAGCGTATGGACTATGTGGATCATAAATAAAATATCCGTTAGTGAATGGTTTCCGAGAGCACTCAATGGGCCGGGTCTTCCATATTTCTCCTTGCCCTTGATCCTGGAGTCCATTTCGATTGAGAAGCCGCAATGTCCAGTCCGTCTTCCTGTGATTCACATATGGGAGAAATTGCACATTGGGTAATTGCCATCCAAGGAACCTTGCAGACTGATGATCCGTGGGTGGAGGTGCCGGAGGTGGTGGGTAAAGGGGTTCGAGACACACCCGCCAGATTCAGTACAACATCTCGTTCTAGAAGACAGCAGCTAAGCCCCAATGCCCTCCCAAAGGAACCCCCTGAGACTGGCCTAACTGAATTCTTGTTCTTAATTAATTAGCTAATTAACTACTCAGCAGATACTTACCAAGTGCCTACTGTGCACCATGCACATTTGTATGGTATGGGGACACAGTAGGCACTCTAATGGAGCTTCAAAGAATATCTTGAAAATTATTATTCTAAGCCAGACATCCAGCATCCGCTATAGGGCTTTGGTTTTGGTTCTCGGGGTATCTTTGAAGAAGACGTTCTATACTTTTGCAGGAAATTAGCTATGACACGTCTATGTACAACTTCTCAAAGTTACATTGAGAAGTGGTTTGAGGAGACTCTGTGCTACTTTGTATATAGGAAAGATATGGTAATATCCCAGGAGAAAGAAAACTTCTTAAAGCTTGCCAGTGCAAGAATGAAACTTGCACACAGATCCTTGGAACAGTTTCAGGTCAGGTTCCAAAAACACCTCTGACACCAGACCCCGGGACTATGCATATGTGCCTCACTGACTAGAAACCAACCGTGGTTTCTGGTTTTAATTTCTAAATGTCTAATCCTGAGACTGTATTCTCTGTTGTTGAGAATGTTTCTCATTTAATAGAAACACTAGGAACTAAAGTCATCATCACCCATCATCAGAATAGTTCCCGGAATTCTCTCTAGCTTTTTGTTTGTGTGTTTGTTTCTGGTGTAAATTCTTGTTCAAATTTCCAGCCACGTTTAAAGTGCAACCTGTAACATTAAAAAAAGGGGGGGGGGCTTCTGAATTGAATGTATATATAGGCAAACCTTAAATCAGGGGTTCTTAAATTTTTCAGGTAGAGGGGAGTGGAATGTCACAGATGCCTTTAATAATCCAGTTAAAAATGTGTTTTCCCTAGGAAAATGTTGGTGTACACCTCCATATATCCATGCACATACACAATTGTATACAAATGCCAGAGAGTTTATGGACCCATCTGATACCTCTTCAAAAACAGCTAGATTTAAACGCATTAAAATTTTAATTTATTTTCCAGT